GTTTCAGGCATCATTGGAATACTGTGGTTTATAGCATGGGTTCCGTTCGTTTCCAGTACTCCTGCAGACCATCGATTCATTGATGATGAAGAAAGGGCATTCCTTGCTGAATCCGCTCCGAAGGGCAGCGTTAAAGTAGAACAGAAACTCTGGCGCTAGTTTTGTACCGAGACTAATATTTAGGCGCCTCGGCTAAGGGACTTTCCATGGAGAGCTGTTTTCTTATCGGTACCGGTTTGGGCGACTTTCGTGAGTACCGTAACGTACACATGGTCCCTATACGTTCTGTTGACTGGTCTGCCGACGTACTTCGGCACAGTCCTTGGATTCGACTTACAGTCTGTACGCAGTTGTTAAATGAGGGCATCGTCAAGAACCTGTCGAACTTCAAGCTTCTTTTGTAGAACGGCATCGTCTCTGCTTTGCCATACCTGCTGTTGGCTATCATTCAGATGCTCGCTGGTCAAATAGCTGATTCGCTGCGGGTTCGACTGCATTTAACGACGACGCTGGTGCGAAAAATCATGGATGTCACAGGTTGGCTTAAGCGAAACTTGTTTTGCCGGCCTGCATTCCATGTGTTCATTCTGTGTAGGCCATCTTGTGCCCGGCATACTGATCGCCGTGGTGGGCTACTCTGGTTGCGACAGCCGCGCGGCCGTCACCTTACTCATCCTAAGCATTGGCATCACTGGTTTATGCAGCGCCGGTTGTCTGATCAATTTTCTGGACCTTTGCCCAAAATACGCAGGTACGTGCTTTCGACACGATGGCTATGACGGTTGTTCGATTACCGTGCTTTATTTTCGATGCTCAGGAATAGTGTTTGGCATTTCGAACACGCTGGGAACCGTATCCGGAATAATTGGACCGATTGTGACGGGCACGGTTACGAAAGGAAACGTAAGTTGTCTTACGAGCGTATGAGCACAGCGGAGTTTATCGCTTGATCTGAATGGAGTAGCCTTCAGTCCTTGAACACATTTCTTATGCAGATATGTATCGACGTAGTGCGCATTTAGTTGCAGCACATGCCAACCCCTGGATTTCTTGTTGCTTCGTTCTTACCCATTCTCTGGCAGGCTGTAGAAGTATTCAAGGGCAAACGTAGCAAAAGAAGCGGATGACAAACTACTGCAGAAAGAACACCCGCCGAAAGCCTACATTCTTTGGTGATATTGTCAAACAATTGCCTCGCCATCCAGCTGAGGTTCGATCAGAGGTGCTTCTGTCCATGCGACTTTTCAGCAAGCATTAAAACAGGTGGAGAAGTCGAGTTTGTTGGCGACGGAAAATCGAGTAAGAGATCGACCGGCGAATTGGAATGGCCAGTGGCGTTCTGCGTGAACTAACCCGAACCGTGGTGACAAAGGAGACCTGAGCCGGAAGGCTAAACACTCTGTATTCAAATCGATCTTCGTCCCTATGTCACCTATGAGTGAAAAATTTCGATCCGGGGTATCAACGGCTTAAATGGGCTTTTTGAGACGAGTTTCTGTCCTTACGCATCTCGACATGGTCCGGAATACAGATATCCGCGCTGGGAAGCCGCAGCTGCAAAAGTTCGGGTACATTTTGCGAATTCCCATGAAGCGAAAGTGAAACAGCTACTACTTGCGCAACCGACCGACCGAAGACTACGCGGACGGCAAGGAATGACCTGCGGCCAGTGTCTCAACCCACTGCTCAAAACTATGGCTGCTCTGTCGAAGTTCAAACGATGGCACAGGATCAGGGGCGTTTGAGGTACTGTCTGACTCATCTGTCTCCGTGACCCGGAAGGATAAGTGGTCATCGAAACTGACCGACCGACCGACTGACCGACACAACCGAAATATGCCATGGTAGCTACCACATGGTAGCTGTCCAATTCCGCCGGTATTCATAATATTTCACTTTCAGTGCTGGAATTCAGAACGACTCAGAAATGTTCAGCCAAATTCAGAGATGCGGCCCTGCATCCAGTGCACCGCTGTTGAATTACCATCGAGCCGTGACCTGCTTAACTGGTCTCTCTAGGCGACTAGAAGCAAGGGATCTGTGCACGTACTTCGAGTAAATCCGGTATCAGAATTGGAGCTGTTATGAATACCAGCGGAGTTTGAAAGCTAGTATATGGTAGCTACCTCGAATAATGTTATTTTGTTTTGTATACAAGAAATTACTCTTCGAAAAATAATAGAATTATCCTGTAGTTATCGCACTTGGTTTCTTTGGTGAATCTTCTGGCCATCATCAGATACCTGGCACCGCAGGCAGATGTTATGGACTTCATTTAGTCACTGCTATACAAGTGTACTAGGCTCCTTCCATCCCCCGCATTTTCTGTTGAGTTCCAGCGTAGTAATTTTCCACGCGTGTCACTGGCGCGAACGTTGTTGGGCTCACATCCTGAATGCTCGCCAGTTCTTCTTATGATGGCTAATGTCAGTGATCAAGCAACCGTTACACGAGCGGAAATGTCAAACAGCCAAAGTATGACGGAAGCTCTGATTTGAGCGGTTTCGTCATGTGAGCTATTTTGCATGTAATAAAGTGTATCCCGGTAGTGTAATTTGGTGTAATAAATTGCCTTACATCGCTTCTAACGCCTGTACCCTTTTCAGCCATCCATTTACTCTTGGCGCGTGGTGTTCTTGATCGCCGCCGGGCTGTATTTTCTGTCAAGCGTGACTTACTCGTTTTTCGGCGACGCGAAGGTCCAAAGTTGGGCAATGGATGACGTCGAAAAATCTAATGAGAGGTTGGAAGAACTGACTGAGGTCGCTAAGTGGAAGAACGAT